AATACATACATGCATAGATATGTGCTGTAGTTTAGAGTCTGTGCTGTAAAGCACCAAATCAAATGCAGTGTTTTCAATACGTATCGATTTAGATGAATGCATTACAGTGCACAGTGTGTGTGCGGACAGACGGAGAGGGAGGCAAGCTGTTGAAGTGTGCACCACATGGGAGCAGCAGCACACAGCAGATGAGGCCGTATGAGTCGTGCAGCGTCCCTCCCCTCTCCTCCCCTCTCCTCCCATCGCTCCCAGTGAAACCTCCCAGTGAAGCGTCGCAGCCAGTCTCTATCTCAACAATCCTCTTAGTCTTGACCCCACTCCACTGACAGCACCACCACAATCACATAATCCTATTAGGACTCACGACTAACTAACCAGGCAAGAGGCTGAGTCAATGATCGCACGCATTTTGTAAAAAAAGAAACGTTAAGGGCTCAAAACTGCCACGGCTGGTTTTAAAATGCAAGAGCACTCTCAGAACTGTGACATAGAAACATTTAGGTCAGTATTTGTCAAGTCAAAATGATCTGGATTGTGACCTGATGTGGAGCCACTGGTCCTGTGAGACTATTGTATTACATGCTTTAGTAAGTCAGGGGATTGGTGGGAGCCCAGGGGAAACAAAATGGTATTTTAATTAATAGAGCACTTTTTAAAAGGAAGTACAAAGAGGTGCACAACAACAAAACAAATGGTTCAAATACAAAGTGCTACTCTACAGAAAAGTAATTGTTAAATAAACCTTGGAGGACATGAGATGGGAAATATGAACACAATGTTTTTTTTTTATCTGATTCTTTTTTGTTAATGTAGAAATACATCTAACGAGGGAACAGTCTGCTTGCAGCTAATAGTCTTGTCAGTCTGGGACGAGAGAAAAGATATTGGTTCAATTTAAAGTGTCACGAGCCGAAGAGGCTGGAACCAGCGTTGTATCGTTTGTATCACAGGTCATGTTGAAGTGTCACAGGAGGACAACCACAGGTAAATGATCTAATGAATTATAAAGATCGAACGAATGATAATTCTGTCGCTCAGCGGGAGAACAAGTTAAATTCTATCCTATCAAGTCATAAAATAGAATTACCATGCAGAGTGTGTGTGTGTGTGTGTGTTGGGGCTAGTTTAACAGTGAGAGTAACTGAAAAGCAGAATAGTCTTTACATTTAGACATTGCTGTGCTCATCACAAGCTCGCTGAACACCCTGCAGGAGCTTCATGTTTCTTAATTGCGGAGTGCAGTTGCTATGGCGACATCCCTTCCCCCTTGCTGAGCCGACTGCACATGGTGGTTTGGCTTAGGCAGAACACACACACACACACACACACACACACACACACACACACACACACACACACACACACACACACACACACACACACACACACACACACACACACACACACACACACACACACACACACACACTCTATAGAGGAATATGTAAACAGCCTCTCACAGTGAAGACATTCAGACTCCTGCTCTCGGCCCCCAGAGCGGAGGATGAACCTCTCTGTGGCTCTGATGCATCGATGAAGCAGTAAAACTACAATTAGTGCTCGACACAAAGAAGAGCGTCATATCTGTGTGATTTTTTATTTATTTTTTGTTCCGCAAAGACAATTGGTTTAGCTAATGGACAGGAAACGATTGTCTATCAGGTCCCATTCTGGGACAGCCACTTAGAGTCCACACATACTGAGGCTGCGGAGACAGAGGATGTGACCTGTTATGGTTTAGACATGTAGACGCTTCATCAGATTACACACAGTTTGTTGTTGTGTCTGCAATGAGACCGTCAGTGTTGTTGATCTCAGTCACCTACGATTCATTTCACTGCAGCTGTAAATAAAACATTTCCAAGTAGATATTTGGCACAAAATGTTTGTTTTTATCATCTAAAGTATTTGGAAAATTGTATTTCAACATTCTGTGTGTTTTTAAGTAAAATTGGCACAAAATAAATCATTCCAACCATCAATGGTGCTAAAATGCGAATAAAATCAAACCAAACCAATCAGTGCAGTCTTACTTTACAAGCCTCCTCATTTAGAACAGTCAAACGTGTTATGGGCCCACCACAAGTTCCACAAGTGTTTTATTTTTCTTCCAAAAGAAAGATCCCGTCCAGTCAGTGAGATCCAACAGGATATAAACTGAAGAATGGAATAATAAAAAAGAATGGCACTCAGTAGAATGCATGTCTCCACCAGGGCCCGTCCGCTCCTCTCTTCCTCAGGCTGCACCCGATTACACTCACTCATAGAAATGAGTTCTATTAATAAAGAGAAAGAAGTTTCCTGGATCCACACCAACATTTTACAAGTTCTCTCTTAGATAATGTACAAACGATCTCTCCTGACCTTTGACTTCTTCCTCAGAGCACCCCGCTGGACCTAATTGAGACCGGGAAGGGGCTGAAGTTCCAGGCGGAGCGCCCCCACCTGGTCAGCTTGGGTAGTGGACGCCTGAGCACCGCCATCACCCTGCTGCCCCTGCCTGAGGGTGAGACCGCTGCTGCAACACCAACACACCAGTTTACTGCAGCTCCAGAGACACGATGACCCAACACCAGTGCTGCAGAATACACAGAATCATTCTTTCATTTCCAGTAATTATACCACTGGTAAAATCACAATCACATCATCCCATACACAATTACATTATTGCCTTATTATTGTGGTAATGGCTTTTTAATAATTATATGTGTCTAGAATAATTGTATTGCAAGGTACCACAACAACACACACCTGTGTCTCTGCTGACCTGACCCTGTTATCACCTCTGTATCCATCTCTCGTCTCTTTGTCTGAACACTCGAGGCCAGTCTCATCTTGTAAATCCATCTGTCTGTCTGTCTGTGTTCTGATATATCTAGACCTGGTGGAGTCCAACCACCTGACACAACCAGTCACTGTAATAATGTGGCTTTGTTGTCACGTCAGGTTCATCCTCTTTGCTTTTATTATCCACGAGATGTTTTAAGAGCTTGACTGGAGTCCACCTGTGGCCATTTGAAGTGAATTAGACAAAGTTTGGAAAGGCAACACCTGTGTGTACATAAGGCCTCACAGTTCACACAACAAGTCAGGACAAGACACAGAGCTGTGAAGTCTGAGGAAGTCCCTGAAGTTGTCTTTGAGGCTTCTACACAGAACTGAATAGAGAATCTGAACACTTTTGGATATGAGAGATTTTAATAATATTATTGTGATATAGCAATATATATATTATACGATGGTATTACAATATAACGTATAATGAAAATGTCTGATAGATTCTGAAGCCACTAACTGAATGTATCATCAGAGGTGAACCACAGTTAATGCTTCACATCAGATTTGGATCTAACTCTTCCTCCTCCTCCCTCAGGCCGGACCACTCTGGGTCGTGGTCCTATGGACATCAACATCCAGGGCCCGGGGGTGGCTGACCAGCACTGCTACATAGAGAACAGGTCAGGGCTCATCATGCTGCACCCCTGTGGGAACCTCTGCGCCATAGACGGTCTCCAGGTCAAGCAGCCCGTCCGCCTGTCGCAAGGTAACAGTCAGCCATAACATGTGTTCTATGATTTACTTGGATGGTTTCTGCTTTTGAATCAGTCTAAAGCAGTGTGGGCAAACAGCTGTGTATGGTTTTCCATGTCCTCCTCTGTAGAACAAGCTTTACAGGAAACCAATGACCGTACATTGTAATTTCACCTGCCGGCCAATGTGTATGATCCCAGCTGAGCCAGAGATCAATGCCTCGGGTCTCTGCCTGGTCAATGAGAACGCAGCACAAGAGCCAGCAGGTCTGCTCAATAAAATGCACAGAGTGCTTTTAAATAGCCACCGACGGAAGAGCGGCCTGAGGTTTCTGAGTTAATGAGGTAACAGAGTGAGTTCTGCTGTGCCCAGGCATGCAGATATATTGAACCAACCAGAAGGGAGATGCATTGATTTTTAATCTTCTGCATCTTAGACTGAACGCTGTGGAGGATTTTACTAAAATGAGCCCCTGGGATTTTCTTTTTTAAATGTTGTTCCAGTAGAAAGTAAGGCTTCCGGTGGAAATAAAGAGAAGGTACGTGTGAAGGTTAACGGGGCACATAGACGGGTTAAAAGGTTTCTGGATGGTCAAGAAATTAGAACATAAAGCAGAATGTATTTTTAAAGCTCGTTTCAATACTTATTAAAGTATGGAGGTTTTCAGAGCTGCACTGAAGGAACCTGGATGATTCAGCACTTTGTGATATGTCTGAGCTGAAGGAGAAGAAGTGAGACGTCACCTGACACTTTCAGTTTTGTTAAGAGTGTTTGCTGTAGTTATTATTATTATTATTTTAAGTTACTTCACACTTAACTAACAATTTAGAGGGAACTATTGTCCCTTTTCCCTCCACTGCAGTAACTGCACATTTAAAGTTATTGTAGCTCTGGAATAAAGATGTGATCAGTTCTAAATATTATTGATTCATAAAGGATAAAACCCTTGAGATGATCTAGTCTTTGAAAGTGGGGCCACCAGACATCATTACAACCACAAGGTGGCCAAAGTAGCAACCTGTGTATAAACTGTATATGAACTCTCATATAAAGAGTAGAGTGGATCACCAGATACAACCAGGCACAGTCGACAGACACACAGAACGTTTACTTGTAATTTGAGTTTTGTGGAGTTGATACACAAGCAAGAAATACTTTTCCCACCACTGGCTCTTATGACATTTTACAACAGAGTCCATTGGTTAAAGTTTGAAACAAAAAGGATTTTAAGTTTAATTTGATTAAAGTCCAATAATAGGAATAAATTGCTAAATTAAATAAGTAATAAATATACCAGTGTAGGAGTGAGGGGATATTTCATTATGCACAATCATCAGAAAAACATTGTCACATGTGGAATACAGTCCTTTGTCATTACAGCTGCGTATGTAGAGAGGAACCTCAAACTGTAAAACATGTTTCAGTCAAGTCAGATTCATAGACGTTTACATCAGCGCCTCAGAGGACGCCCGGCGTGCATGAGAGTGTGTTACAGACACTCGACTCATCATTACTCACAATGTAAACTTCCGTCTGATGTGTAATAACACTGCAGCGTTATTACTCATTCTCAAATAGCGTTCGGCCTCACAATGAAATACTGATAGAGCAGAGTACATGCACACGACATGGACTAATATTATACCTTTGTAAATGCTCTGCGCTCAGTATCCGGTGTCCTGCATGACTCTCGGATGTGTGTGTGTGTGTGTTGTCTGTCAATGTGTCCCCTCTTGTCTGTTGGTATTTCAACCTGGGCTCTGGCAGGGTAACCTGAGAGGGGACACAGGGCTATTTATACTGCCCCCTTCTACCCCCAGACAGATCCCACTTTAGCTGCAGAGTGGGATTCATGGTGGAAGCGTCAGTGTTTTTCATCAAATGAAACAGAATTGGCTTTATGTTCACGTGTGTGGTTTATACATACGTTTGATTTATTCACCCGACTGCTTCATACATTACATGTCGGCTGTTCCAGAGGTGTGTTAAACACCCATCAATAACTTCGGACTGAATAAAATCTTGATATAAATCATTCAAGCGACAAAACAATTGTTGTGCTTTTACTTTGAGGACAAATTTGGTGAAGAGGAAGCGATTCTGTAATTGTTGTTGCCTAGACGTTCTCGAGATATTCAGTAGTTGGTAGATTATATAGTTGAGTGATACATCGGAGGAAACTTCAATGTTTCATCATAGTAAACGTTGACTTGACACTCATATGTGTCACAGGAAATGTAACGCTGTCCGCTCGCTGTATTTCTACACCCGGCAGATGAATAGTTTACAGCTGGGAGAGGCTTTGAAAAGTCAGCGTTACAGTTTATAGAGAATCAAGCAGAAACAAGTTGGTATTGTTAGAAAATGAAAATGTGCTCAACGTGCGTTTAGTGGTAATCCCCTGGGATTTACAGTATAAATCAGAAGAGCTGTCAGAGGGAAATCCCAGCAGGGAAAGGGCAACTGAGCCTGTTTGTTCTGAGCGTTTCAAAGAGGAAACCATTGGTCGCTTTGATTCAGCCCATCAGCAAAAACACAAGGAGAAAAGAAGAAAATCTCAGCATTAAGTGAAGAAAACCTCCAACTTCCCATTTACACTGTAAACTGAGTAATAACGGATGTAATGACCGGTAAATATCATGAAGTACTTGATTCTAACTAAAACACCTTGGATACACACAGTATGTCTGACAGGAGGAAACAGAGCCCAGAGTCACTCATTCATAAAGTTTTAGGGTGCACTCCACCGATCACATGAAAGGGTTATTATTTATTACTTCACTCCTGTTGCAGGTTTATGTCCCTTATTGATTTACAGTAAAGTTTATTGTTTCAGTATAGTTTTTTTTTTTTATAGATTATAGACGATGTGATTCATGGCAAATAAATGTCAGGCATTGCTTTACACCTTCACCTTTGTTCTTTAGATATATAAACAAGACTATGACACACACACACACACACACACACACACACACACACACACACACACACTTCCTCAGATTGAATCCTACCATGGTCACAGTCTGACATTAATGTTATACTCAATTAATCAATATATGGTATTGATCAGCTACCTGTGTGTGTGTGTGTGTGTGTGTTTCAGGGATAGAACCCCCCCATCTCTCCCCCCCTCCTTCTGACTCAGAAAGAGAACCCCCTCTCTCTGTCTGTCTCCCCCCCCACCCTCCCTCTGACTCAGGATCTCCACCTTCTTCTGCTGCCCCCCTCTGTCTCCCTCTCTCCCCCTCTCTCTCTCTCTGACTCAGGATCTCCATGCACCTTCTTCTTCCACACTTTCCCTCTCCCTCGCTATCTCTCTCTCTCCCTCTCTCTCCCCCACTCTC